AACAAACTGGGGTTTAGGAAGTCTAATAATTTTAATTTATACAGCGAGTAAAGGGAGGAGCAGGGTATGAACCAGGCTTTCTGACTTTTGACCCTGTTCATGTAACCACCTCAATCTTTGTAAATGTATATGTCATCACATTCATCATTGCTCCAGTGTTATTGCCCATGACTTTATCTGGAGTTCCAGAATCAAAGGAAAGATGATGTTTGCTGATATCTAGTACATGTGCCCTATGGCCCCCATAGATAGTTTCTTCCTGGACAGATTTGGTTGGTCTTTGAATACAGGTTCAGCCTCAATTTTTTTTTTTTTTTTTAAGTAAGGGGATTCTGCAAACTTCCTGTTAGGCCAGGAAAATGGCTTTTTAAAATCTTTTCACCAGCTTTTATTCTTAATAAAGTTTGTTCAGTGCCTTCCAACTCTTAATTTTCCTAGAATTTTTATGCTTCCCAGAAGTTCCTGGCTTCTTTCAATCATACTTCTGTCCACAGTCACATGTCTTGGCAACAGTGACACACCTTTTGAACCTATTCCACTTTCATTAATGTTTTACCTCATTTAATGAGTAGTTTTTATTCTAGCTGGAGCAATTACTAGACTATTTTGGTGAATCATAGAAAATGTGACTAAGTTATTCACATGGTAAGTTCAGCTATTGCTGAATTCAAAATTCCTTAGTTTGTCTAAAAGCTTCCTTTCTGGCTAAGAATTAACCTTTTCTTAGCCCATTCTCCATTACATAAGTATTAGCATAAGAAGAGTTGCCTTTCTTTGAAGTTTCTCTGTTTAAAGAGACTGTTTTTAATTACTTGAAGATAGTGACTTGGTAAATGAAGATTATAAAGAGCTCCCAAACTCATCGAGACACACATGTTGTTGGTCTGCTAGGCCCACTTGCTAACATTTGAACCCTCTTGTCAAACTTCACCACATGGGTGATTGAAGTTTGTCAAAATCCAATTACAAATCATGGTGTGTCATGAACCTTCAGGTTCCTTGCCATTAGCCAAACGAAGGCTGTGAAGTCCATGTACTGTACATCGGAGTTCTACTGCATGATTTAGAGAAAGGTCAGTCTTAGAATTAATTGCTTAACATTTTGCAATAATTCATTGCAATCTTTGTAATGATGAAGAATCGTTAGTTTAAATACAGGTGGACTTCAGTTTCATGTGTTACATGAAATTATGGAATGGTTTGGAAACTTGATTAAAATTTAAAAGCCTATTGCTGGGGTGATGGGCACCTTTATAGCCCTGATTCAAGCATTACAAAAGCTATCCATGTAACAAAAACATTTGTATCTCCTTAATATTTTGAAATAAGAAAAAGTGTAAGATCAGAATGGCACAAATACTTAAGATAATTTCTATTTCGTTTTCATCATTCTTTCTTTAAAATGGATATCTAAAGGTTTCGTCAGTTAATAAAAAACAAACTGTTCTGAAAACAAACAATCCTATTGCTACAGCTTACAGAAGGAGTTACACTGTTTTAAATTGCAAAT